TAAAAAAAAAGAAAAGAAAAAAGAAAAAGGGTAAGGTATGGAGTATAAGGACAGAGGCTGAAGAGGACAGGAACTATTTCCTTTGAAATTCAACAGCTTGGTAGCATGCAGCCGGAATAGTTCCATTATTTTACTGGGTGTATCAAGCCTAGCCAACAGTCTCATCAGACTAATGTTCTAAGAGCCTTCCTCAAGAAAATGCTGTAGGATGGAAGAGATGACCAGAATGCCATTTTCAGTTGAAATAGGCACCGTTTACACTCTTCTTTGGTCAGTAAGGATTGGCTCCTTGTAGACCCTCTTAAGTACTAAAATAGAATATACATTTTAGTGCTGGAGAAGGACATCATACAGAGTCCAAAGCAATAATATATGGCATTAGTATGCATTTTCTTGATAAAATTCTCCAATGCTTAAAAAATCCATCCTTCACATAGCTGCTGTGAGAAATCTGATTTTTTGAAAGATTTATTTATGTATTTATTTGAGAAACAGAGAAAGAGAGAGAGAGAGAACACAAGTAGGGGCAGAGGGAGAGAACCTTCAAGTAGACTCTCCGCTGATCGCAGACCCATGAGATCATGACCTGAGCGGAAATCAAGAGTCTGATGCGTAACCAACTGAGCCACCCAGGTGCCTCTTAGATTTTTTAAAATACAGATGCTGAGAAAGATGTTTTCTCTTTCCTCTGAGGCTGCTAAACTGGAATGACATAATCCTGAAACTGCCTGCAGCTATGTTCCTACTGTCCCAGTTTGGCTCAGTAGGTGTGATATTAAAGAGAAAAATTATTTGTGATACTTGTTAAAGAATAAGGCAGACTTTACTAAGGGTGACTATCGCAATAGATATAGGGACCACTACAATGGGTTTTGCAGTAGAGGAGAGATATTGGGCCCAACCCCAAATATAACAAGGAAAAGTGGGAATTTATAGCCAAGGAGTGGTGGGGGGTGGTGGTCAGTGAATGGAAAATTGAAAGGAAACATCAAGGCTAAGGGAGGAGTCTAGAAAAACAACCTAACAGATTCTTGCTGAAGGCAGGCCAGGGAGATCAGACCTCACCTGGGGGATGGTGAAAGATGAGGAACCCCATCAGATATTGAGGGTGATCAGATATCAAGGATGGGGGATTCTGGTTGAATTGACTCAGTAGGATTCTTGCAAACTGGACAATGCAGGGGTAACACAGAAGCTCAAAAGTCAGGGCTTGGTTGAGAAAAGAGTTCAGAGGAGCCTGACTAAACTTTGGTTAAAGAGAGACTCTGCCAGTGAAACGGGGTCACAGAGAGGAAATCAGATCCAAGATTGGAAAGAAATGATAATTTTTGAGTATGTGAACTCAGCTCCACCCCTGGATTTCCCAATTTCCTGTTATATGAACCAATAAATTTATTTTCATCCTTCAAATTTATTTGAATTAGGTGTCTGTCATTTGCAAATGGAAGAGAGCTCATTAATTTGAAGAGAGAATTGATTTGATGAATAAGTTTGAGGTGATGGGTAGAAGATTAAAAGCAGTGAGTCAATGGCAAAATAAGAGTATACGTTTCTAAGCTAACACATCATCATACAAAATATACAAACTTCCTATACACCATTCTTACAGTGTTCTCAGGGCTATAAGCTTAAAGGGAGTATCATATAAATGGCAGAGAAATATTTGTGAAATTGGGATTCCAGAACTGAACAGTTTTGCAAGACTGGGCAATATAATAGCTGACACTTATTAGATATGTACTTTATTCTAGGCATGCTAAGTGTTTTATATGCATTATTTTAATTAATCCCCATTTCACGGACTCAGAGACATCAAGATACTAAGACCTTTTCCAAGGACAGATAGCTACTAATTACAGTTTTAGGATCTGAACATAGATCTCTCTATTCCTGAATGCATGCACTATAAAAAAAGTTTTATTGAGATATAATTCACATATCATACCATACATACCAGATTCAGCCATTTAAAGTACGCAATTCAATGCTTTTGGTATATTCACCATTACTATAGTTTTTGAACATTTTAATCCCCCACCTAAAAAAAAACACCATACCTTTTCGCTATCACCCCCATGTCCTCCCCAACCCCCAACCCTAAGCAACCACTAATCTACTTTCTGTTTTTATAGATTTCCCTGTTCTGGACTTTCATATAAATGGAACCATAGAGTATGTTATCTTTTGTGACTGGCTTCTTTCACCTACTATTATGTTTTTGAAATTCATCATAGCATGTATCCAGTACTTAATTTTTTAAAGATTTTATTTATTTATTTGAGAGAGAGAGCACAAGGAGGAAGGGGCAGAGGGACAAGCAGACTCCCCGCTGAGCGCAGAGCCTGTCTCGGGGCTTGATCTCATGATCCTGAAATCATGACCTGAGCCAAAGTCAGACGCTTAACCTACTGAGCCACCCAGGTGCCCCTCAGTACTTCATTTTTTATGGCTGAATACTATTCCTTTGGAGATATCACATTTTACTTATCCACTCATCCATTGATGAATATTTGTGTTGTTTCCACCTTTTGGCTATTATAAATAATGCTGCTATAAATATTCATGTACAAGTTTCTGTGTGGACATGTTTCATTTCTCTTAAAAATATACCTAAGAGTGGAATTACTGGGTCATATGGTAACTCTATGTTTAATAATTTGAGGAACTGCCAGAGTGTGTTCCAAAGTGGCTGCACCATTTTACATTATCATCAGCAGTGTAAGAGGGTTTCATTTCTCCAATCCTTGCTAACACTTGTTCTCTGACTTTTTGATTTGAGCCATTCTAGTAGGTATGAAGTATTATCTCATGGTAGTTTTGATTTGCATTTCTTTGATGACTAATGATACTGAATGTCATTTCATGTACTTTCTGGCTATATGTATATCTTTGAAGAAATGTCTTTCAGATCCATTGCCCATTTAGAATATGATTGTCTTTTTTGTTATATATATATATTCTAGATGCAAATTCCTTATTAAATATGATTTGTAAATATTTTTATCCCATTCCATGGGCTGTATTTTCACAATCTTGATAGATGCACAATTTTTTTAATTTTGGTGAAATCCAGTTATCTGTTTTTTCTTTTGTTGCCTGTGCCTTTGGTGTCATATCCAAGAAATCATTGCTAAGTTTAATGCCATGAATATTTTCCCCTTGTTTTCTTCTAAGAGTTTCATAGTTTAACTCTTATGTTTAGGTCTTTGATCCATTTTGAGTTAATTTTTGTATATGGTGTAAGATAACTTCATTGTTTTGCATGTGGATATCCAGTTGTCCCAGCACCATCTGTTGAAGAGACTATCCTTATCCCATTGAATAGTTTTGGCACTCTTGTTGAAAATCAGTTGGCCATAGATGAATGGGTTTATTTCTGGACTCCCAATTTTGTTTCATTGATACATACATCTATCCTTGTTGACAAAGTAACACACTGTTGCTTTATAGTAAATTTTGAAATTTGGAAGTGTGAGTCTTCCTACTTTATTCTTTTTCAGGATTATTTTAGCTATTCAAGATCCCTTGTAATTCCATATGAATTTTATTTTTATTTATTTTTTAAAGATTTTATTTATTTATTTGACAGAGAGAGACACAGCAAGAGAGGGAACACAAGCAGAGGGAGTAGGAGAGGGAGAAGCAGGCTACCCGCTGAGCAGGGAGCCTGATGCAGGGCTTGATCCCAGGACCCTGGGATCATGACCTGAGCTGAAGACAGATGCTTAACAACTGAGCCACCCAGGCGCCCCTCCATATGAATTTTAGAATCAGCTTATCAATTTCTAAAAAAAAAGTCGGCTGGGATTCTGGTAGATATTGTGTTGAATCTGTAGATCAATCTAGAGAATACTGCCATCTTAATAATGTCTTCTGATTCATGAACATGGGATTTAAAAAATCTTTACTTAGATCTTTAATTTCTTTTCAATAATTTTTCATAGTTTTCAGAGTATAAGTTTTATACTTCTTTTGTTAAATTTATTCCTAAATATTTTTTTCTTTTTGATACTATTACGTTTTGAGAGAGCTTTAGAAGCCAGTATTCACAGGTGGCAAGATGGATGATGTGGTGTCATAAGTAATAATATAACTAGCATTAAAAAAATAGTATTAGGAAATTAGAGAGGCAAGAAGACCTATATTATTTCAAGACACACAGGTTCTGAGAAGTTATGGCCTTGTGAGTACTAAGACTATTATTACATTCTTCTCATGTGTGAGATGTAAAATTAGCCAGCATTAGTGCATATGAAATAAAGACAGAGATGGTACGTAGACAGTACCAAGAATCTTTATGTGCACTGATACGACAGCAACAAATATGTAAGTACCACTTTTATACCCATTATCCCAAACTTCATTAATAAAACATTATACCTCACATGGGATCATGAATTTTATAACACATCTTTTACTAATATTATTTACACAATCAATGTCCTTGAAAAAAATATTTCTGTGGGATGATGCATATCCTCAAGGTGGTTCTGGAGGCAGTGCAGTAAAACAAATGGTTAGAAAAATGGGCTCTGGAGTCAGAATACCTAGATTCCATGGATTAGCTATGTGATCTTAGGCAGGTGGTTTAACCTCTCTGTGCCTCTCTGCATCTGTATAATCTAAGCAATGAAATACAATACTTTACGGTGATGTTGTGAAATTTAAATTACTTAATATATATACAGTGTTTATTATCTGGCATTTTGTTTAAAGGTGGATAGCTGTATATAGTACTGTACTTACTTTATATTCCCTATTTTTAAGTTTCATGATGGTAAGGACAAAATAAGTTTGTCTTTGTATCCCCCACAGGATGAAGTGAATTTTATTTTTGAATTTATCTGTAAACATGAAGTATATTAAAAATGTAAATATTAAACATTTAAAAATAATTTAAATAAAAATCTTCAGCATATCATTTGTATTTCTTCAGTTACTGCTTTATAATTAGCTGTTAGGGACTTCATGACTTCTGACATTCTTTTTGTCACCCTCACTTTCTTCAAAGCACCTAGTTATGGTGTAATGCACGTCAGAGTCCTCAGAACCGCTAACGGGGTAGTTCGAGGGATGAGGCTGCAGCAGCAAAGAGTGGGTCATATCAAGGTACAGCTTTGCTGCTGGAGGTGGAGGACAAATAACCTCAGAAAACAGCGCACAGGAACAGTTGGGCCAGCAGAGCACTTTGTGACGGCTCATTTGGACACTCCGCAGTGGGGTACGGCGAAGGTGAGAGCCCTAACGCGCGGGTCGTCCGCCCGGAGGCCTTGACGGGGCACCTGGGTCTGGCGCGAGAGGGAAGGGCTCGGGCCGAGGCCGCTTGGATGAGTCATTCTCACCTCCCCAGGCAGGTGCGGGTGGCAGGACGCTTCGCCTCGGCGGGCGGGAGCCGAGAGCCGCCGCGGAGCCCCCTCTCGGGACGCCTCCTCCGGGCGGGCACTGACCTTGTCGCTGGCAGCCCGACTGCCGAGAAGACCCGGCAGACCCCGCAGAGCCGGGCGCTGGTCCGGGGCGCCCACTGCCTCCCGGACCCACAGGTCGTCGGAGCCGGCCGCCGTCCTCCTGCGCTCCCTCAGCGGCTCAGTCCCACGCGAGGTCGCCCGCTGAGCGCAGAGGGCCGCGCAGCTAGGCGCAGGAGGGCGGGGCGGGGCGCGCGCCCACCGGCCCGCGGAGGTCGTCTCGCGCGGGCGCACGCGCCGCAGCCGCGCGGGGCGGGGGGTGGGGAGGGTGGGTGTGCTTGGGGCGCGCGCGCCGCCGCCGCTGCCGCCTCAGCCTGCTGCTCCGCCCGCGCCGCCTGCTCCCGGCGCTCGGCCCCAGCACGCCGGCTCCCGAGCGGCCATGGGCGGCGCGGGGTTCGCGGTGTAGAGTCCGCCAGTCCCGGACCCGCGTCCCGCACCCTGACGGTCCCGGTAAGCGGGGGCGGGGGCGGCGGGGACCCGGCAGGCACCCTAAGGGACGGGTCTGCGGGCCTCGGACAACCCTTTGGGGACTCTGAGGTGTTGTGTGGGAGCCGCCCCTAAGGGAGTCCTTGAGTACGGGGATAAACCCCCAAGTGTCCCTGGCTCTGCCCCTTGGGAGAGTCCCGGAGGCGGTGCGGGGAGCCGCCCCCAAGGAGGACCCCCGGGTGAATGCAGACTCCCAGGGCTCTCTCTGCATTTGCTGCCATGGGGAGGCGCAGTGTGGAGGCACCGTTCCCGCAGAGAGACCGTCTGTATAAGTACCGGAGGGCAAGGGTGGTCTCTGGTGGTGTCTCAATGGAAGACCATTTGAGAGCATAGCGGAGCCTCGGGAGCCTGCGCGGTGGAGATGGAGCCCACAGAGGACCCCTGTATAAAGAAATACTTTAGACTGTGCCCTAGAACTGCCTGGAAGGAACCTCTGACAGGAAGGAGAGGAGCCTGCCACGGGATCTAGGCCAGGAGTAACTCCCCATATGCCCACAGGACGTTGGCCTTGACCTTTCTAGGGCTCAGTGTGCCCTAAATTGCGTCCCTCCAAGGTGGCCGAGAGGCTGGGGCCGTGCGGGACTGCTGCCTTTGTCCATTCCAACCCCCACCCCATTAGAAATTTTATTCTCCGTGGTAGCGCAGGTTGTCTCCAAGCTGGATTTTTGTGGAGGCAGGAACTTCTATTAGAGCAAAGGGCATTAAGGGAAGGGAGGACCGGTGAGGCCTCTGAAGCGAAGATAGGAGACTTGGGGTCCGGGGCTTGACTGTCCACAAGCAAGCCGTTAAGATCAGGTGGAATAATTGATGCTGGCAGGTCCTGGAAGAGAAAGTCCTTTGAAGGAAGAAGAATGCATGGGATTATTGAGCTCCAGTGTGCTAGGCACTATACTATATTTAAACATATAACTCTTAAAACAATATTGTGAAATTATCCCTTCACTTAAACTGAGACTCAGAGATTTTAAGGAATTTGAAAAAGGTCACAAAGCTTGGAATCCTGAAATCTGTTTTTTGGGGTTTCTTTTGGGAAGAGATATCAAAGAGAGACAGAAGAAAGAATGTATGTTTCCTTAAGTTTAAGAGGTAAAATTATATAAAACTCTTAGAAAAAAACAGGGAAATATCTTTACAACCTTGGATTTGGCAATGGTTTCTTAAGTATAACATCAAAAGCACAGACAACAAGAGAAAAAATAGAAAAATGGACCTCCTCAAAATTTAAACTTGTGCATCAAAGGATTCACTGAAGAGAGTGAAAGGACACCCATGGAATAGGAGAAAATATTTGCAAATCATATATCTAGTAAGCAATTAATATCTACTATGTATAAAGAACTCCTACAAGTCAATGACAACAACAACTACACTCAGTTCAAAAATGGAAAGGATGTGGCTTTTTTTCGCCGCCATCCTGCTCTTTGTGGCTGGCTGCTTCTCGCCATGTCTTCTCACAAGACTTTCAGAATCAAGCGATTCCTGGCCAAGAAACAAAAGCAGAATCGTCCCATTCCCCAGTGGATTCAGATGAATACTGGTAATAAGATCAGGTACAACTCCAAAAGGAGGCACTGGAGAAGAACCAAGCTGGGTCTCTAAGGCGTCACACGTCATGAGATGACACACCTAATTGACATACATATTTAATTAAGCTGCATGAAGATCATGTGTTCTATCATTCTGTAAACATCCTTCCTACCTGGCCATAGACTTGTCTTATCATGGAAATGATTTTTCTCTCTGACTATGCCTCTGCACCAGTAGGTTGGTTCAGTAATAAATGTGAGACCTCTTGGCTCTAAAAAAAAAAAAAAATGGAAAGGATGTGAATAGATGTTTCCTCAAAGAAGATACATAACTGGCTAACCAGCACTATTCTCAAAAATAGAAAATAATGGGAGGATATGGAGAAATTGGGATGCTGGTACATTGTTGGTAGAAATGTAAAGTGATGCAGCTGCTGTGGAAGTGTTTCATGGTTCCTCAAAAATCTAAAAAGAATTTTCATATGACCCAGCATTTCTACTCTTCAGTATATATCCAAAAGAAATGTGATATGATATGGAAACTGGCCAAATTACAAATTTGGTAGCTCTCTCCTGTGATCAAAGAAATGACCTGTTTCTCTAGTATTGGTTACCTATCATCATCCCTGCTAACTGCAACTCACCAATCAGGTTTCATCTCTGAGGAAGCACAGTGGATATAATGAGTTCACAATTACACTTTCTAGAAACAAGTTCTGAAGAATTGGTCTTCTCAGACCCTTATGGCCCACTTTGAACTATAGAGAGGATACTGACACTGTGATCTCAAACTCTTTGCTTCCTCCAACCATCTTTGCAGCATTTCTGTAAGAAAAATTTATTCAACACTTGTTCTGTGTAAAGCAATGAGAACTATTCTGATTGTTCCTCCTTCCTGAACCCAAAGAAAATCTGGAGCTCCTGTTTCTACCTGTGAAACTTACTGATTTGGGTTGTTTTCTCCACTTCCCTTTTCAGAGGTTTCTTTTACTTTATTACTTCCTGGGGGACATCCCTCCCCATCGTCTACAAGATCACCGTTATATCTTTGAGCCTTTCACAGATATCTGCTATTCCCATATCAAAAATCAAATGAAGGCACAAAAGGGTAATTTACATTTAATATGTAGGATGAGATGGTTCCAGCCTGTTAGGAAGGCTGCAGACTCTCCACAGCTATGTGTCTTTATAGAATGAGCTAAGGGAGAGGAGTTACCTAAATGCCTTCTCCTTCCCTGTTTCTTCCCAAGCTCATACTGTGAAACAGCCCCCTTTTCATCCTAACTCTATTTGCCCTTGTAAATAATCTCACTGAACTTTAAGCAAGTGCTCTGCAGAGAATGGGTGTGCCTTGTACCCACACAAACTGCATGCTACCGACATATACCTTACTGTCAGACACTTTTACTTTCATGGCTACAGCAGTGTATTAGTTTTCTTTTTTTTTTTTAAGATTTTATTTGTTTATCTGAGAGAGAGACACAGCAAGAGAGGGAACACAAGCAGAGGGAGTGGGAGAGGGAGAAGCAGGCTTCCTGCTGAGCAGGGAGCCTGATGCAGGGCTCGATCCCAGGACTCTGGGATCATGACCTGAGCCAAACGCAGATGCTTAATGACTGAGCCACCCAGGCGCCCCGTGTATTAGTTTTCTATTACTCTGCAACAAGTTACCACAAATGTAGTGGCTTAAAATAATACACAATTTATGATCCCACAGTCTCTGTGAGTCAGAATTCCAGCTTAGTCTTCTGTTTATGGTCTGACAAGACTATAAAGTATTGGCTGGGCTGTGTTCTCATCTGGAGGCTTGAATGGGGAAGAATCTTCCAAGCCCACTCCGGTTGTTGGCAGAATTCATTTCTTTGCAGTCATATGACCAAGGACGCTGGATTCTTGTTGACTCTTAGCTGGAGGCCACACTCAGCATCTAAAGGCCATTTACAGTTCCTAGAGGGTACATTGACTTTCCCAACGAGGCCACTTTATCAGGCCAGAAAGGAGAGTCTTAGAATAAGTATGCTAGAAGACAGTCTTATATAATGTAATATAAGTACAAGAGTAACATCCTATTACTTTTTCCATCATTCTGTTAATTACAATTAAATCACAGGTCTGTCCACACTCAAGAGGATGGGATGACACAAAGCATGAACACCAGGGGTTGGGAACATGGGAGAAGCCACCTTGGTACTCTTTAGCCACAAAGAGTACCAAGGAAAGGTTTAGGTTGTCATCTGTTCTCATTTCTTCCATTTTGTTTGACTAAATGGGCCTGTTCTACTTTCTTGTCCCATTGGGATTTACCACCACTTGCCCCTGACCCCTGAAGGTTTTTTTTCAAGCCCTTCTCAAGTTACCACAGATTCTTCAACATTCATGTTGTCTCTATGATAATATCTTCTCTCTTTTCTTCTTTGATAAGGACACAGAAAACCCCAATTCTACTTATCAGCTAAAAAAGAATCATTAAGCATAATTTGTGGGGTATTTCTGAATTGATTTTCTTTTTAACCTGGGTATCTCTCCTAGGACTTCTTCCAGGACATAGAAAGCACTTTTTTTTTTTTTCTCACCATTCATTTGTTTTTAACCATTGCTAGTTATGGTTGAGAGAGACAACCTACTATGGGCTCTTCGCATCCCTGAATGTTTTTACTGGGTATGCCAAGAATGTAGGACACTGACTGTTTTCCAGGCTGTTTCTCAGAATTGTATTTACAACAAGCAACCTTGAACGATAAGGCAAAATTTCCCCCTAGAAAAAGATCAGGCTTGCTTTTTCTTCCTATAAAAGGAGTGAAACCCCAAACCTTAGCATTCTTCTCCTGTAACACAGCCCACTGTATGAGTAGGCACCGGTCATACATCCTGTGCCACACCCAAGGCATTTGATAGACGTGGGGAACTGATACAACAAAACAAAACAAAAAAACACGCTAAAGCTCTTGCTGTGGCTGTTCTGTGAGTAATAAAATCCTTGATATTTCACCGAGGAGTCTTGTGTCTTCTGCCAGCATTCACGAAGCAGTAATAGGATATCTTGTTAACTTTAAAACAGAGTAAAATCTAGGGATGTCTGGGTGGCTTGGTTGGTTGGGTGTCTGGTTCTTGATTTTGGCTGGGGTCATGATCTCAGAGTCCTGGGATCGAGCCCTGCATCAGGGTCCATGCCCAGCGCACAGTCTATTTGAGATTCTCTCCCTCTGGCCCTCCCCCAACTTGTGCTCTCTCCCCCACCTAAAATAGATAAATAAATCCTTTTAAAAAATAGAGTAAAATCCCAGCCCCTGCACAGTTCTTGACAATCACTACCACTTGTTTTTCTAGAGGTTAAAACTGATTTTGTTAATTTCTCAAGTACCTTGTGCATATTTTGGAGCTTGTAGCCCTGAACCAAGCCCATCTTTTGGTCCCCAGGCCAGGCTGGATGTAGACATTGGGGAAGGGGTCACAAGCTTGGATAGCTAACGTCTGAGTTGTGAGTGTCCACCCAAGGATTGCAACTGTTGAGTGAAGATTTTGGCTTGGTGAACTCCTGACAGAGCCTAAGTAGTGTTTGACAATCTCTAGGGTGGCTGGGGTGCAGAGGAGTCCTACACTAGAGGTTCTGGTGCCTGGTGTTGAGAAGTGAGGGGTAAGTGGATTAGGGAGGTACAATGGCTGAGTTCAGCTTTATCTCTGTTGATGAGTTCATTGTGAATATATCCTGTCACTAGATTGAGATCCTGGAGTAGGGGGAGAGAGGTGTGCTAATTCACCCTTATTCTCCTCCAATGTCAGTAGGTCCACTTACCTATTTAGGAGAGACACCTAAGCCAGGCTCTGAGGTAGAACTCCTAGGTATTATTGTTGCAAGAGTCTGAAATCCCCACATCCCTTCAGCCCCCGGTCCTAGGCACATTTCCTCCTACCTGGATGGGAGTTCCAGGGCAACAGATGCTCCCAGCTTGACATTAAGGAGCCAGGAAAGGGTATAGTGGGAATTTGAGCTCAGAGGCTGGGCTAGTTCCAGAACAGGGCTTGGAGTGGGCTGGGCCCCTGTAGGCTTTTCTGTCTAACAAGGGTCAAACAGCCTGGGCACCTTGGTGCTCCTGGGTTCCCAGCTGAACACTGAGCCCTCCAGGGACGTCCTGCTCTGATGACTATGCAGGTGTTACTGAAGGAGCTACTGAGTTCCTGGAGTGCAGATAACCCATACTGTCATAAGTGTGTGATATTTGTGGGACTAGTGGAGGTGCAGACATTACTCAGTGTGTAGCTCTCTAGAGTTAGGTAACTGCTTAGAATAGCATTGATGTAGTTGGTTACAGATTGGAGGTAGACAGTGGTAAGCATAAGGCAAGGTAAAGATTTTGGGAGGTAATACCCACCAGCATTATTTTGAAAGGTCTGCTTTATTCTTCCCTTAGGGTCTGTGTCTGCTGAGAGGCTGGGGGTCAGGACCTTGCAGTAAACTGGGGACACTCCTGGGGATGAAGATGGGTGTATAGGTGAGGGATGGGGCTGTGGAAGAGGGCAGTGAACTCACTTGCTGATCTTGTCATTTCTTTGAAAGCCCACAACCAAGTTGTTGAGACCAGAGGTATGCATGTGAATCCAAGACTGTCCTTACTAAAGGACAAGCAATGGGACAGAAGTTAGAAAGCAGGGTTTAGAGGAGGGAAAGACAGGCCTGGTTGAAGGTGGCCTAGGAGCTTTATGGAGGAGAGCAACTTTGAGGGATGGATTTGGCCTGCATTTGTGTTTGTAGGTCTGCAAGATGGCCTGTATGTGTTTGCAAATGTGGAGACTGTCTTTGTGCCGGCATGTGTGCTTGTGCCAGCTCTGCTCCTGCACGTCTGACTCAGGGTGTTCTTGAGTCTACGTAGGTGTGTTTCCTGGACATGTCTCTGGGTACTCTGAACTAGTTTCGGAGTGGCAACATTGAATTTGTGTCTTTGTGTTTATGCATCTGTGTGGCTGGATGTGTGTGTCCATGTGCCTTTGACTGTGTGGGATTCTGCTCCGGCCTCTCACTTTACCCTGCCCCTCTCCCCTGACACTCCCCAGCTGCCAGCATCATTTACCGCAAGGAATGGCTTCTGTTCCCTTCCCGCTGTCTGGATTCCCACGGGTCCAGCTGCCTGCATAGGGTCCTGCCCCTGTGGCCTCTGTAGCAGGCTCGACCTTGGGAGCGATACACTCTGGAAAGCCCCCAATACGCTCCTTGCCTGGCCACAGACCCAGAGAAGCTACAGTGGAGAAGAGGGGCAAGGCGGGAAAGGGGGGGCAGTTGGCAGAGCCCACCCCTCCTTCTGGAAACAGAGATCTCCCTCTGGCCCTTTCCCAGGCCTCCTTTCCCTCCTCATGCTCTCATCCAGACCAAGTATTCAGGGTCCCGGCCTCACTGTCTCTGGGGATAGGAATGAACAGTCCTCCGCAGGCCCAGCCAGAGCCCTAGGGATCTTGTCCTCTGTGTCCCCCAGTACCTTACATGTCTGCACTGTGTTCCTGCCTCATCTCCCCACCTGAAGTCCAGGCGGTCTTCCCTTCTTTCCTCTTCCTGCATTGGACGCAGCAACTGTTCTTGTTCTTCATTCTCTGACAGGCCTGGCCTCTGCCATGGGCCCCTGACCCAGGTGGAAAATTAGGCTTTGGGTGGCTGGGAAAGAGCAGAAG